TGAACAAGATAATTGCTCATATACTGCATAAGCGCATCGCGATCATTATTGAACCCCAGCTAAGACGTGAGCAAGAGGTTTTACACCGAACAGGTCATGTATTGATCACATCTACAGCTTAAGGGTTATTGTAGAACAGTCGGTGGAATGACATTCACCCATTTGCCTAGTGTTCATAGATTTAAAACGTGCTTTTGATACACTGTTTCACAATTCTATATGAGAGGCCCTAATATATAAAGGTACAAAAACTCATTTTGTCGCATTCTTCACAAAGGCTCACAGAGCAGACCCTTAAATATTAACGTAGGGGTCCGTCAAGGCTGTGTCCTCTTTTATTCAATATTATTCTGGATGTTGTACTGAGCAACTCTATGTCTGGGTAACATGGTATTTCATGGGGTCTCCATGATAGACTGGATGACATCGATTATGCTGACGACATATGTCTTCTATCACACCGTTTCTCAAGCATGCACTCCAAAATTCAAGCCTTCTCCTCCCGTGCAGCTAAAGCTGACTTACAAATTAACATCAAGAAGGCCAAGTCAATGCTAAGAAATTCCACGAACAACGCAGAATTCCAGCTCGCGAGACAGACTATCGTCGAGATTGATAACTTGTGCTACCTGGGGAGTTAAATATCAAGAGCATCAAGGAGAACATACAGAATAGATTGAGCCAAACAAAGTTTGGTAAATAATAAATTCTGGGAGATCACAGAACATCCAATGAAGATCAAACTTAAAGTTTTTAACTCTAATGTAAAGGCTGTATTTCTATATGGTTGCGAAACATGAACCATATCCCATCGAGAGATGAGCAGTTTACAAACTTTTGTCAACCGGTACCTCAGATGTATTCCCAGAATTGTCTGGCCAGTCTCTGTCTCAAATCTAGATCTTTGGAAACGCACTGATCAAGCTCCGATTCATATGTACATACGATCTAGTAATTTGTTTGGATAGGTCACACTATGAGAAATCCAAGTACTGATCTCTCCCAACAAGCCGCCGAATTCATCTCCCAAGACTCTAAGTAGAAGGCCTGGCAGATCTACAAATACTTGGAGACGACAGATATAAAACGAGTTGCAGGAGTTTGGAGTTTCATGGAGCGAAATGAAGATGATGTGTTGTGATAAAACGAACTGGAAAACATTTGTTGCGGCCCTATGTTCCACTGGGAATTAAAGGACTAATTATATATACTACTTGTGTCCCCGCTGTATAAGGACTTAAGTTTTGGTTTATTTATAAAGATCGTACTACGTTCTACTGAATAAGTCTCTAGGGGTTGCCGGATATTTCACAATGGGGCTGTCAAGGTCGGAGTTTAGAAAAAAAGTTTAATCCATTGAACCTCAGAGTTAGTTTAATTAATCTCATCTGAAGTTTACAAATAAAGTCATAAAATTAATGAAACATTCTTCATTAATACAATGAAAGGCAAAGTTAGCTCGTAAACAATGAAAAATGTCATTGATCGAATGATAAAATACATGCCTGGAATGCAGATATTCCTCTTAGTGCAAATATATTGTGGGTCGTGTTCGAAAAGAAAGAAAACATCCTGTCGCAGCCATAAAAGTCTCACTATCTAGACAATTTAGTGTAAAAATAATAAAAGAAACCGTAGAGAAGGAAGGCAACAATAACTGACATGTTAATAAAAAGGGTTCTCAAGTCTGAAACTAAGAGCCGATGATAAGCCGAATTCGATTCAATAAATATTAATTTATTGGGCTTCAGAGTTAGTTAAAGTAATCCCTGTTGACATAAGAATGTATGACTGGTTCTAACATTTTAGAAAATTCTAAACTACTACTAGAAATGGTGTAAATTAAATTATCGCCTGATAAAGAATATTTCTTAAAAATCTATAGAAAATTATATAAAAAAAAACAAAAGTCAATACACTTTTTATTATGATTTCTAATAAAAATTCCTATAAATATTATTGTTATTCATTCCTTAAAAAGCTTGCCAAAAAATGTTTATAAAAAGCTTATTATATTACAAAAGAAAAAAATCAAATCAAAAATGGTATTAAAACAACTGAATTAACAATATTAACAATTCAAAAAGAATAAAATATTCAAATTATTATTAAACCCAAACAATTATAGACAAATATTTATGTTTAAAACCACCAACTACAACTTTTTTCTGTATAGAAAAAAACATCAAATAATAAATGTTAAACATTTGATTTTCATTCCTAAGAGGGATTCACCCATTTAGAGTGCTGACAATAATAATAATGATGATGACGAAGATTAAATTAATATAAAATAACAACAGCAAAACATTAAAAAAATGCCATTAACTCATCATTATTATCAAATACTAGTGTTAAAATTAATAAATATTAAACCAAATACTACGAATTTAACCTCAAATGTCAATGAATGTGTGACAAATGCGCGAGTGAGAGAGAGTTAAAGTTTAAAAGAGATAAATTTATGCGTTTGTAGTTGTAATTGTGTATATAAAAACTAATGTTTTTGTTTTTTTTTAATGAAATTGATATAATGACGTATGATAGCGGTGGCAACAACTATAGAGAATTTTTAATTGTCAATTAGTATTGACAAGAAGTTTTGAATAGTTTTGAACGACTATGAGGGGACTGTATTGAAAAAGAGAACTCTATGAGAAGATCAGGCAGATTAAAGATCTTATTAAATAATGAAATTTATAGAATCCCTTAGATTGCAATGGTAATCTCTATAAGGATGACTCATACAAACTTTATATAGATCGAATTACAATCCATTACATTACCACACTGCCTATAGTAAAAAAACAATAGATCTAGAATCAAAAGTAAAAGATTTACTAAAACATTGATTTATTAGACCCCCTAGATCGTTAAAAATCCCTTGTGGGAATTCAAAAGATGTTTCGTTTCACTTCTGAGTCATGTTTATATGTACGATCCATTAGAGCATAGATCGCTGATCGACATTAACAATGTCGTACTAAGAACTCAACTACCGACTTCAGATAGGCTTAAAAAGTAAATTATTTCTGAAAAAATGGATTAATAAGAACAATTTATTAAAAAAAAGTATGAACATACTTAAAACTGATCATAAGCCTATTTCTAGGACACGATCAAAAATAAAAATTTCATATTTTTTTAAATTTATGAAAAATTTTCATTGAATCAATAACCAGTTTCATTTAATCTATGAAATACAGTCACAATGGCGTCTAAAAACAAATTCATTAAACTAATGAAACATTCTTCATTTATACAATGAAAGGTTACGTTAGCTCGTACACAATGAAAAAATTTCATTGATCAAATGATAAAATTCATGCCTGGAATGCAGCTTCTGCTCTTATTGCAATGATATGCAATGACGTAATAGAAAAGAGTCTATACAGAATATTTTCCATCTATGAAATAGTTTCACAATGGAGTCATATAATAAAATTAATTAAACTTTCTTCATTTATACAATGAAGGGTTACATTAGTTCGTAAACAATGAAACCATACATCATATCAAAACTCTTAGAAATCGGGGTTAATCGTGCAATCCATGTAAGTACTGAATCGAAAGATTTGTTGATTTCAATTTAAGGAAATTAAATTGTTTTTCAATGTAATTGCTTCATGGCATTTATGAAATATTTTCATTGAATCAATAATCAGTTTCATTTAATCTATGAAATAAATTCATAAAACTAATGAAACATTTTTCATTAATACAATGAAGACTAACATTAGTTCTTAAAGAACGAAAAAAATTCATTGATGAAAAGTTCAAATTCATGCCTGGAATGTAATTTTTCTCTTCTCTAGTTATACTATATTGAATTATAGAAGAATCTATACAAAATCTTTTCCATCAATGAAATAGTTTCAGAGTGGAGTCCAAAAAATAAAATTAATGAAACTTTCTTCATTTATATAATGAAGGGTAACGTTAGCTCGTAAATAATGAAAAATTTCATTGATCAAAAGATAGATACATGCCTAGAATGCAGAAAGATTCTCAAGTCTAATTTGTTCCGAATTCAAAACACTACGCCTATTTTAGATTAAACTTCTTAATCTTATCTCCAAAAAATTATCTTCTAGGGAAGCAACTGTAGATGTTAGGTCAACGGGTTATCGCATGTTTCGAATTCTGGAAACAGTTTTTCGAGTGTGATTGTTAACTAAGATTCAATATAGAATGACCACTATTGACCTGTCCATTCAAAAGATCTGCCCATCGATACTGTGAAAAATTTTCACTTTCCAAATTGTTGAGCAAAGTAAAGGACATTGTAAAGATCAAATAAAATTGTTATTATAACAGTTGGAAACTCGTTCCTGGTGAGAAAAACTTCTGGTTGATACAGTGGTTACTGGGTTGACAGCCATTAAACGATTGGGAATCACATCGTTCAAGAGCAGAGATCTAATTATCGTGGAAACGATAAATTACTGTTAAAGCATTATTTTGTTAACTTGAGAGCTCATCTATAGACATTTCAAGTTCGTTAAGGATCTTACTTTGTTGGAGAGGTATGATTGCTATATAGGCTGCAATTTGGCTTCCTTTTTTAAATGTGGGTATGGTTGAAATTGTCTTATTAAAGTCTACTATAACAGTCTATAGGGTGTCACAAAACCAAACTAGTAAGCTGTAAAGCACGTGAGTCACACTATGAAAATGAAGAAATAACGTCACCATAAATACTCGCAAAAAAAAAACACGAAAAAAATAATCATAAAAACGTATAAATTTAAAAAAAAAAAACAAGAAATGTTTTATTAAAATATTCACATATGAATAATTATAAGAGATAAATTTGTTAAAAATAAATTAACTAGAAACAAGGTGGAACGCAAGACAGAAACAATTAAAAATAAAACATATATTTTAAGAAAAAAATATATAAAAATTAAATTTAAAACAAAATTAATTCATTCATAAGTTGGTCATTAATTAACAACATTTTTATAAAAACATTTTTATATTTAAAATGAATGACTTACCTTATATACTTGTATCTCTTCTAATACAGCTTCTGATTCTTTGAGTACTCGCTCTACCTCTTCATATATTTCACGTTCTGTTTCCGTGGGTGCTGCATTTTCAAAATCCAAAAAGACATCGTAGGACTTGGCTGTGCAACAGTTTGAGTCATCACGTGCCAATAAACTCAGTAATTTGCCCATTTCTTTATTTTTTGTCTGTTTTTCTTTTATTTATTATTAATTTATTTTTAAGTATGAAGAGTGTATGTAGCTGATTGTATGTTGTTGTTGTTTTTTTGTATCAATTCACTGTGATTTTTTTGTACTTTAAACACTTTTTTGATTTGTTAATTATTTTTTGCTTTATTTCCTTAATCAATGAGTAAATATTTAGTTAATTTTTTTGTGGATTTTAAACAGCAAATTTATAATTGATTTCTAAAAAAAGAAGGGAAATTTAATTAATTAATAAATAGTTTTTAAAGAAATGAAGGAGTAATAATATGAAAACAAAAACTAGACTATATACAAGACTATAGACCAGAATATAGACTAGACTATATACTAGACTATAGACCAGACTATAGACTAGAATATAGACTAGACTATAGACTAGACTATAGACTAGACTATAGACTAGACTATAGACTAGACTATAGACTAGACTATAGACTAGACTATAGACTAGACTATAGACTAGACTATAGACTAGACTATAGACTAGACTATAGACTAGACTATAGACTAGTCTATAGTCTAGACTATAGACTAGACTATAGACTAGACTATTGACTAGACTATTGACTAGACTATAGACTAGACTATAGACTAGACTATAGACTAGACTATAGCTAGACTAAAGACTAGACTAAAGACTAGACTAAAGACTAGACTAAAGACTAGACTATAGACTAGACTAAAGACTAGACTAAAGACTAGACTATAGACTAGACTATAGACTAGACTATAGACTAGACTATAAGACTAGACTATAGACTAGACTATAGACTAGGACTATAGACTAGACTATAGACTAGACTATAGACTAGACTATAGACTAGACTATAGACTAGACTATAGACTAGACTATAGACTAGACTATAGACTAGACTATAGACTAGACTATAGCGACTAGACTATACTAGGACTAGACAAGACTAGACTATAGACTAGACTATAGACTAGACTATAGACTAGACTATAGACTAGACTATAGACTAGACTATAGACTAGACTATAGACTAGACTATAGACTAGACTATAGACTAGACTATAGACTAGACTATAGACTAGACTATAGACTAGACTATAGACTAGACTATAGACTAGACTATAGACTAGACTATAGACTAGACTATAGACTAGACTATAGACTAGACTATAGGACTAGACTATAGACTAGACTATAGACTAGACTATAGACTAGACTATAGACTAGACTATAGACTAGACTATAGACTAGACTATAGACTAGACTATAGACTAGACTATAGACTAGACTATAGACTAGACTATAGACTAGACTATAGACTAGACTATAGACTAGACTATAGACTAGACTATAGACTAGACTATAGACTAGACTATAGACTAGACTATAGACTAGACAATAGACTAGACTATAGACTAGACTATAGACTAGACTATAGACTAGACTATAGACTAGACTATAGACTAGACTATAGACTAGACTATAGACTAGACTATAGACTAGACTATAGACTAGACTATAGACTAGACTATAGACTAGACTATAGACTAGACTATAGACTAGACTATAGACTAGTCTATAGTCTAGACTATAGACTAGACTATAGACTAGACTATAGACTAGACTATAGACTAGACTATAGACTAGTCTATAGACTAGACTATAGACTAGTCTATAGACTAGACTATAGACTAGACTATAGACTAGACTATAGACTAGACTATAGACTAGACTATAGACTAGACTATAGACTAGACTATAGTAGACTAGACTATAGACTAGACTATAGACTAGACTATAGACTAGACTATAGACTAGACTATAGACTAGACTATAGACTAGACTATAGACTAGACTATAGACTAGACTATAGACTAGACTATAGACTAGACTATAGACTAGACTATAGACTAGACTATAGACTAGACTATAGACTAGACTATAGACTAGACTATAGACTAGACTATAGACTAGACTATAGACTAGACTATAGACTAGACTATAGACTAGACTATAGACTAGACTATAGACTAGACTATAGACTAGACTATAGACTAGACTATAGACTAGACTATAGACTAGACTATAGACTAGACTAGACTAGACTATAGACTAGACTATAGACTAGACTATAGACTAGACTATAGACTAGACTATAGACTAGACTATAGACTAGACTCTAGACTAGACTATAGACTAGACTATAGATCATTTTAGAAAATCTTCTAAAATGACGCAAATTCTTATGGATTTTTTACATAATTTTACAAAAATTCTATAGACAAAACTAACTTCCTTTGTTCTCCTTAAAAAAAACAAATGCAAATAGTAAATTAACCTTAAGTTTAAATTATATTTTAAAATTCTATAGAACAAGTTAAGAAACAATAGTTTAATTTACATGCTTTAATTTTCTTTGTTCGAAATTTTTGTGTAAAAATTTTGCTAGCGAAAAAATAATCTATTTTTATAAATAAATATTTATGTAAATAAGCAACTCTATTGAAAATTTTAAAAATATATACAACAATAACTATATTTCTCATACATCTGATAATGTATGAATAGACTTTCTTTCTTTCATTCTCAATATGTGTAACGCATCTACTTATGGGTCAAGTAGAAAGGTGACACACATCATTTATGGACCATTTAAACAAAAAAAAAAAAAATAATAATAATATGTAATAAAACGAGCCAGAGTTTAAATTTATAGTTTGTGAACAGTAGTGTCTGATTAAGTAGCAGAATTTGTCAAGCTAAAAAACAACACCAAACAAAAGAAATTTTTAAAGTAACTTCAAACCAAATTGACACAAATTTAGTTCCCTTTAGAAATAATATACAAATAACAAGGACTTAAAAATCTTGTACAAAATTATTGTTTATCACAAAATCAACGAACCGACATCGATGCTCTATTAAACCAATTATGATAACAGAAACGAGAGAAAAAGGAAATCTTGAAACAAATGCACACATATGTTGGTTATATGTTTATATAAGGAAAAACCCATAAGTCAATAATCGATAATTGCCAATAACATACACGTTTCGATACATTTTACAGTCAAACTACAACATATTCGAAATACACACAGAAGTAAAAATAAATGTATGAATATTGCTCTTGTATATATGAGATTTTATAAACAACGAAAGAGCTGAAATAAAAGAGATTTCAAAAGTAAGGAACAAGAGTAACGAAAATATTGTATAATTGTGATAAAAATTTAACACATTTGAAGTGCAGTAGCACAATAGAAACAGAAAATTAACATTAAAGTAAGGATGGGTGAAAGCGATAAAATGATAGCCTACACTTGCTACAATGATGTTTACGATTTTAAGAGATTTTTTTTAAAGATTTTAACCCAGATTTTAACTAGTTCAGTTCTAGTTCTAGTTCAATTCTAGTTCAGTTCTAGTTCAGTTCTAGTTCAGTTCTAGTTCAGTTCTAGTTCAGTTCCAGTTCAGTTCTAGTTCAGTTCTAGTTCAGTTCAGTTCAGTTCAGTTCTAGTTCAGTTCTAGTTCAGTTCTAGTTCAGTTCTAGTTCAGTTCTAGTTCAGTTCTAGTTCAGTTCTAGTTCAGTTCTAGTTCAGTTCTAGTTCAGTTCTAGTTCAGTTCTAGTTCAGTTCTAGTTCAGTTCTAGTTCAGTTCTAGTTCAGTTCTAGTTCAGTTCGAGTTCAGTTCTAGTTCTGTTCTAGTTCAGTTCTAGTTCAGTTCTAGTTCAGTTCTAGTTCAGTTCTAGTTCAGTTCTAGTTCAGTTCTAGTTCAGTTCTAGTTAGTTCTAGTTCAGTTCTAGTTCAGTTCTAGTTCAGTTCTAGTTCAGTTCTAGTTCAGTTCTAGTTCAGTTCTAGTTCAGTTCTAGTTCAGTTCTAGTTCAGTTCTAGTTCAGTTCTAGTTCAGTTCTAGTTCAGTTCTAGTTCAGTTCTAGTTCAGTTCTAGTTCAGTTCTAGTTCAGTTCTAGTTCAGTTCTAGTTCAGTTCTAGTTCAGTTCTAGTTCAGTTCTAGTTCAGTTCTAGTTCAGTTCTAGTTCAGTTCTAGTTCAGTTCTAGTTCAGTTCTAGTTCAGTTCTAGTTCAGTTCTAGTTCAGTTCTAGTTCAGTTCTAGTTCAGTTCTAGTTCAGTTCTAGTTCAGTTCTAGTTCAGTTCTAGTTCAGTTCTAGTTCAGTTCTAGTTCAGTTCTAGTTCAGTTCTAGTTCAGTTCTAGTTCAGTTCTAGTTCTAGTTCAGTTCTAGTTCAGTTCTAGTTCAGTTTCAGTTCTAGTTCAGTTCTAGTTCAGTTCTAGTTCAGTTCTAGTTCAGTTCTAGTTCAGTTCTAGTTCAGTTCTAGTCCAGTTCTAGTTCAGTTTTAGTTCAGTTTTAGTTCAGTTCTAGTTCTATAAGTCGTTTTATAAAGTACCCAAAAGGTATTATGTTCTGATTAACTTGAATTACCTAAATAATAACCATAAAATACTAAATGTCCTTAATTCTAGAATATTTATTATTCCATGGCCAAATAACTTTACAAGATATTTACTTTGAAGCTGGTTCTTAGACGAACGATCTTTATGGGTCTTTTACTTATGAACGTTACTTATGATTTTCACTTCAGTAGTGTAGGGTATTAAAATCTATTGCAATTGCTACAATAAAAACACGTTTTTCAAATGAAAACAAAGCAACACAACACAAATGGGTGTTGTTTAAATAGCAACAAAAAATAAAAGAAAACAAGTAGGAAAATACGGAAAATACTTGAAAATATGAAAATAAACAGGAATAAACAAAACAGGCTGGTTATTGAAGGACAAAGGATGGAAAAAAGAAAATTCAAAAAACACATATATAAAAAGTTTTTGGTACAATAACCAGATTTTCCAAAAAAAAAAAAAACAAAATGCAATGTTTACAAACATTATTCCCCCCAGCAATGCAGACAAACGCTCCTCATACTATTACATATTTATTGCAAGTATTGTTGGTTAAATGGTACAGATTTTTTCTAAATTCATGTACTGCCGCTGATTGATACACGATTAGAGGCATTCTACAAACTACTTAGTGGGGGGTGTTTGTGTAATTTTTGGAAGATGAATAACAAAGCAAAAAAAGTAAAAATCATATAATAAGTGTATATTGTATGAACAATTTATAAACATTAAGTGGATTCGAAAGAAATTTTTGAAAACTATAATAAAAAAGAAAATTTTTTCTAAAAATTTCAAGTTTATGGTTTTTAATTTTTGCGTAGTTTTGTATAATTTATTTGGGGTTTTTTTTATTTATTTCCATACAACAACATGTGTTGTAAATTACTTGTTAGAGGAGAGGAGTAGAATAAAAAAATATCGTAAAAGAAATAAAAACTTTTAGCAGCGTTTTATCATGAAATTTAATCATTTTCTTATCTTTTGTTATTTTTGTTTGTGTGTTCATTGCAAAATTCTGTTATCGGGTATCCGCCATGAAAAATACACTAACAACAAGATTAGCAAGTAAGAGAGATTAGTCGGCTATGGCCGAATATGTGATAAACTACACCAGGCATGGAAAATTTGGAATAGTGAATAGATCCATAGTCTAGTCAATAGACTAATCAATAAACCACTCTAATAGACTTGTCCATAGACTAGTTTAAAGACTAATCAATAGACTAGTCAACAGACTAATCAGTAGTCAAGTCCACAGACTAGTCAGTAGTCAAGTCCAAAGTCTAGTCTATATAGACTCTGTAGTCTAATCCATAGTCTAGTCTATAGACTAATCAATAAACCAATAGACTATTCTATAGATTGGTCCATACTATAGTCTGTAGAGTAGTCATAGACCAGTCAATAGACTAGTATACTAAATAATCGATCGACTATTCAATAGACTTGTCCATAGACTAGTTTAAAGACTAATCAATAGACTAGTCCACAGACTAATCAGTAGTCAAGTCCATAGTCTAGTCTATATAGACTCTATAATCTAATCCATAGTCTAGTCAATAGACTAATCAATAAACCACTCTATAGACTATTCTATAGATTGGTCCATACCTTAGTCTGTAGAGTAGTCATATACCAGTCAATAGACCAGTACACTAAATAATCGATAGACTATTTAATAGACTTGTCCATAGACTAGTTTAAAGACTAATCAATAGACTAGTACACAGACTAATCAGTAGTCAAGTCCATAGTCTAGTCTATATAGACTCTATAGTCTAATCCATAGTCTAGTCAATAGACTAATCAATAAACCACTCTATAGACTATTCTATACATTGGTCTATACCTTAGTCTGTAGAGTAGTCATATACCAGTCAATAGACCAGTACACTAAATAATCGATAGACTATTTAATAGACTTGTCCATAGACTAGTTTAAAGACTAATCAATAGACTAGTACACAGACTAATCAGTAGTCAAGTCCATAGTCTAGTCTATAGAATAGTCTAGCCAAAAAGCTAGTCATAGCTATGTCAATAGATCAGTCCACAGACAGAGTCAATGAACTAATCAATAGACTACTTTAAAGACTAATCAATAGCTAAGTCCATAGAATAGTCAATTGGTTAGTCGAAAGATTATAACTAATCAATAGACTACTTTAAAGACTAATCAATAGCTAAGTCCATAGAATAGTCAATTGGTTAGTCGAAAGATTATAGACTAGTCATAAGTCTATTTAATATACTAGTCCGTAGTCTAGACTACAGACTAATCAATAAACTACTCTACAGACTAATGAATATACTTCTCTATAGACTAGTCTCCCGACTAGGCAATAGGTTAGTGCAAAGACTAATCAATAGATAAGTCCATAGACTAATCAAAAGAGTGGTCCATAAAGCAAATTCAACTGATACCTGAACTAGGAAATGATATTCTGGTAGAATATTTGTATGGGGAATCAGAGGAACTATAGACCAATTTCAAATACGTTCATTTCGTTTTTTCCTAAAAATGTTCCATTTTCCTCAAATCTTATTGCCTTGTATTAAAAACTGTAGGCTGTACTTTAAACACAAGGATTAGACTGGCATAAAATTGCCCTGAGTCCATAGTTAAACGTTTCCACCAAACATCTAATACATGCAACACTATAAAGCTGTAGGGTATAATAACAAGCTTAAGCTTTTATTTCAGTTTTTTTTTTACAAATACGGGAATATGTTTTTTCCATATTTGTTTTGGTTCCCTGCCTGCCTGGCCGCCTGACTGCTGTTAGCTTCTACAGCATTAATTCTAGGCACGTTTTCCTGTGTCTCCATAACGTTGAAATAAAAATACAATAAAAGAAGGTAAAATTACAAAATCATAAGAACTCTAAGCAGGGGAGGAGTTGTTTTTCCTATTTTTACCAATTTCAATTCTATCTATTCAAAACACAAAACAACAAGCAACATTTCTTTTTCCTCTGCAGAGGGGTTGTTTGCAACAACAACAACAACAACAACACTTTTCCTTACAAAAATATTTCGGTATAATTTGTTTTTGCCTTTTCATTTACAAACTTAAAAACATTTCTTTATTTTAATTATTTATTCTTATTTTTTATCAAAATATTGGAATTTTGCAATGATTGCCCTTTGTATGGAAAAAGTGTAAACAACTTTTTCAAGTTTTATCACTTTGTTTTATTAATACATTTGCTGCTTTTTTATTTTATTTTGTAATTTCTTATCACCTTTTTTTAGTAATTTCACTGGTTTCTTTTATTATTTTGTTTAATTCTTGCTTCCTTTTTTCTATTTAATTATTTTTTTTTTTGTTTCTATATAAGATTTGTAAAAAATTTATTACTTTTTTATAAGTTTTAATGAAAAGATTTGTTAAAAAACACCGTATATAAAAAAAATACCGCAAAAACACACGACGTACGTTCTCTTAAGACGGCTGCTAAAATCGAACTAAGAAAATGAGGACTGCGCCGACAAATATTAACGGCGGCGGCGACTGACACTAAATATGTCGGCGGCGGCTTAAAATCGACTGTAAGCCGGCAAAGTTTTCAACTACGTTTAGTTTTTCATTTTTCAACGATTTTAAATAAAAACGGAATCCGAGAGATCAGAAAGTAGGATTTTGGAAGCAAATATATTGTTTATAACAACAAAACAGAGCAAACTCAAAAGTTGTATGAGAAATTATGCAGGGATGAATAAAAAATTCTTAAAAATTAAAAACAAATCCTTTCTCCAAGTTCTCCATATAAAACATCTTGCAGAAAATCAGTTTCTAAAAAATTTTGCGTTAAGAAAATGATCAATAATGTAAAAACAAAGATATTTTATTTGTTTATTTACTAGCTATACCCAGTGTGCTGTGCTACCCTAAAAGCAATATAAATAAGAAACCTACTTAACAATTTTGATGATTCTAACTACAATGGTTTTCCAGATATACAATTTGTTACATATGGGAGATTCCACGTTTAATTTAATCTATGAAAAATTTGAATAATCTAATAGTTTCCAGATATACAAAATTTTGTATTTAATTCATATGGGAAGTGCCAAGCCCCCCATTGAAAGACCGCCCGTTATTCTCTAAATGTTCTTCAGTAAAATTTGAAGATTCTAGCTCTAATAGTTTCTCAGATATACGAATTTGTCTATTTAATTCATATGGGAGCCCCAGATGAAAGTCCGCCCTTTTTTCTCCAAAATGTTCAGATAAATATTAAAGTTGTTCGTGCAAAATTTGAAGAATTTAGTTATATTAGTTTCCCAGATAAACGAATTTTTGTATTTAATTCATATGGGAGGTTCCGCTCCCCTCATTGGTAGTCCCCCAATTTATTACCCAAAATGTTTACATGGATGTTAAAGTTCTTCCAGAACAACATCATTTAAAGGGATCACAAAGAGATTGAAAAATATTCCAAAAGTTTCACTTTGAAAACATTATTAGAATGTATGAAAACTCGCAACTCTAAAGGCAGACTAATCCTATTTTAGCGGTAATTTATGATTAAAATAAGTAAGAAGTAAGAGTTATATTCGGCAAATCATATGTCGTAAAAAAGCAAATTTCGGAAGTGGTCCGATCATTAGATTAATAAGAACGTCACCGTGTTTTTCGGATTAGGGACTTAAATGTGGATTTGGATCAATAATATATATAATTTAAAGTATTTTTTTTAATTCTACTATAATTCTATCATAATGATAACTTTTGGAATGATGTATTAGCTATAAACTGATTTTCTGTAAGAGGGTTATATTGGCGGACTATTATGGCCTATAGAGATTTCGATTGATATCGAGCCCTTTATGCAAAATGGACGTAAGCGAGATAAATTTTCGTTCAATAAGGATACTGCGTGTTTAATTTCATGTTTATATATTCAATATTTTAGAAAATTCAAAAAGTACCAGTTAAAGAACGAAAAATTACCAGAAATACTCCAGTTTAAATTTTCATTCACTCAAGTCCCTAATTGCTTAGTTTTATGTTTCTAGGTTCATTATAATAGAAAATTCAAATAGAACCAGTTGAAGAACGAAAAAGTTCCAAAAAGTCCCCTTTTATATGTTATCACTTAATCCGGGCTGTACATTCCTAATTTCATGTTTCTACGTTCAATATTATAAAAAATTCAAAAAGTACCAGTCGAAGAACGAAAAAGTACCAAAAAGTCCCCTTTTAAATGTTATCACTTAATCCGGGCTGTACATTCTTAATTTCATTTTTCTAGGTTCAATATTATAAAAAATTAAAAAAAAAATTTATAGATTATAATTTACTCCGGGCTCTACATATTTATTTTCATGTTTCTAGGTTTAATTTTATGGAAAACTCAAAAAGTACCAGTCGAAGTACGATAAAGTTCCCATTTTATAGATTCTCATTTACTCCAGGCTCTAAGTGCTTAATTTCATGTTTCGAGGTTCAAATTTTGTAGCAAGCTCAAAAAGTACCAGTCAAAGAACGAAAAAGTACCAAAAAGTGCCATTTTATAGATTCTCATTTACTCCAGGCTCTACGTGCATAATTTCATGTTTCTATGTTCAATTTAATAGAAAACTCAAAAAGTACCTTTTGAAGAATGAAAAAGTACCAAAAAGTCCACTTTTATAGATTCTCAAGTGCTTAATTACATGTTTCTAAGTTCTAAGTCAAAAAAGTACCAGTTGCAACATCGTATTGGGAGCTCGTTATTTTGTATTCATATGTATAAGTTAATAAACCAAAAACAATGTTTTATAAAAAAGTACCAAAAATAGGTACAGTTTTCATCCCTTAAACGTCCGAATATCCAAAAAGTACTAAATTCATATTTTTATTTGTTCGTCAAGTTATGAAGGATTCAAAAATATTTTTTGAATGTTCTCTGGTTTAAAAGATACATGGGGTGCAAAAGAAGTACCAAATTACAGTTTCTACCCGTTTATTCCCCAAAGGGGTCGAATTTGAAAAAAGTACCAGACACCTGTCCGCTTATTTTTTAAATGAATAACGATATGCTTTAAACTGTTTTTGTATCTTTTATAGTTTAGGAAATTTGAGGCTAACTAATTTACGTTTTTACCCTTTATTAACCCATAAAAAATTTAAATTTCCAAAAATCCCGTCTTATTATACATTTGGTGGGAAACCAACCTCCTGCCAAAATTTAAGCTATTTAGCTTCAACCGTTTAGGCTCTACGATGATGAATCAGTCAGTCAGTCAGTCAGTAACGATAGAATTTTATATACGTATGTATGTATATAGATTTCGTGCATTGAATTATACTGTAAAAACATTGTAATGTTCGACTTGAATTCAAGTTTCGTTTTCACTGGAGAATGCTATTGAATTAAAGTGTAATGAAAGTGTATTTCAACACTTGAAATTGGAATGTTTGACTGGAATTAAACTTGTTTTAAACTTTAATTCCAGCAAGAATGCTTATTGGGTATAGTGTGACAACTATAAGTCTAAAGCCCACAATGGTTAGTACCAATATTTTGCCCAAACAACATCTACATACCTAGCCAGGTTCTATCCTCTAGGTCCTTGAAGACATTCTCTACAAAGCTATAAATTTGTATAAAACCATAGTGTTTGGAGACAACAAGAGCTTCACTGAAAGGCACACCTGACAGACATCGCGCTCTATTATGGGTGTATGGTATTGATTCTGCTAAGATCAATGGTATAATAATAAGTATGTATCTCAAGGATACCCCCTGAATACGGCAATCAGCTTCCTTCCATTGCCTCTATGTGATAATATACCATGTCACCACTAGCCGACCGACCACCACCTGCCTAGGCTACTAGGGAGGTATACAATTGCCCCTCTCTTGTGGGCATTCTTCCAGGAGACCATTATGATGCCTCCTCTTTCTTGAAAAGAAAGACGTTCTTTATAGACAAATAAATAATTAATTAACACCATTACCTACGTTTTTTAATCTTCTAGATCTCACAAATATGCCAAATATAGATTTCGATAAACACTTTTGGGTATTAAACGAAAACAAACCCATATAATTATTAACAATTTAACTAAATTCAACCCAACACTTGCTGTTTCTTTGTACAATGACCCTCGGTATAGTAGTATAGCATACAATCTTACTAATTTTAATTTTTAGTAAAAAATTAATTTTTTATTTAAAGAATATCATTTCTGTCATTTTAGATTTTCGCACAGACACAACAACAGATTTTTTTTTTTTTTGGCAAATAAAAAATGCAGAAAACGGTTTGGCGCGAAAAATTCTAGCAGAATTTCTTTTCGCAGTCGGCAGAATTGACATCAACTGCACTTCCCATTTGAAATACACATGTTCGATACCCTAGCCCTTACGGTATGACATACCAGCAATGTAAAAAGGTGTAGCTCCGTTGACGTCAACGAAGCTGGTTTGAAGTCAAAGCAGCGACTCGAATTAGGCGCGAAAACACGAAAATATCTGAGGCGAAGCATATACATCGAACGTTGAGCAAAGTTCTACACCGGCCAAATTTCAATGAGCGGCTTATTATTAGATAAAAGAAAACTTGCTTAAATGAAAACAAATTAATTTTATATTGTAAAATTCCACAAATTTAGCGAAAGTATTCTGTAAATTGTACAAAATATGGCGAAATTTTCAAGCCGTATTAAGCTGAAAAATTTTCGGCGGCGGCGGCTTTGACATTTTGTTCGGCGGCTAGGCTTAGTCGGCTTAAGCCGAATCGGCGCAAGTCTCTTAAGACGGCTGCTAAAATCGAACTAAGAAAATGAGGGAATAAAGGAAAATAGAAAATGTTAAAACAAAGTACTAAAATTATGCAACTATGTGTAAAGTAGGCTGCCAGATGAAACGTTTCAAAGGTAATTTTATTTTTTTTTTGTGAAAAGCGGGTTAATTATATATTAGTGAAAGGATATCTTTTTTGATTTTTAGAAAAATGGTTTTACAAAATTATTGTAATTTTTGTTTAAATATATATCATACATATTTTAAGTAAGAATATGTTTCTGAATATGAATTTTAAACCACATATTATAATTAAACAATCAAAATTTAAAAAAAGGAATTTCAATAAGAAATCAGTATTTCATTTAAAAAAATCTAAATTTTAATGGAAATTAAGAATTATAAAATAACGTGGCCTTCGGTAGGTTAATAGTTAGTGTTCTAGTCTGGTAGACCTGAGGTGATGGATTCGATTCCCATCTGAGGCACTGGTTAAGGAGCGCACAACAGGCCCGATAGCGGCCTCCTTTCAAACTAACTACTCAAATAACGCATTTTTTAGAAAAAGTGTAAATATATAAAAATTATTATTTTTTTTTTTTTTTTTTTTGCGAAAAATCATTTTATTAGTAAGAATTGTTTTTTAGTGAAAATTTTTAATTGTAATAAAATGATTTAAATTTTAGTTAAATATTAGGATTTTATAAAAATATCTGAGCTATAGCAAGAAATTA